AAATTTTATTCCCTTGGTTTTTGGTTTTTTTGTTCAGGGAAAAAATTAAGGGGGTTTTTTTTTGGGGGGGGGGGTTTTTTTTTGGGGAGGGCAGCCAGGGGTTTTTTTTTTTTACTGGGTTTTTTTGGGGGGGGGGGGGTTTGGGATTTGGAGTTGGAGGTGGAGGGCCGGGGGGGGGGCCAAGAGGGGTGGCCAGGGGAAAAAAAAGACATTGTTATGCATTGTTTGGGGAGGTTTGGGGATAGGCGGGAAAATGTTGGTCCAATACTTTTCCAGGCGGGGAGGGGGGAGGAAAATTTCAGGTCCCCGGGGTGGAAAAAGCCCAAAAAAAAAAAAGGATTTCGTTTCACCACTGGAAAAAATTCCCCGTGGGTTAGGGGGGTTTTGGGGTTTTTGTTTTTTTTTTTTGGGGGGGGGGGGGGGAGTTCTTGCATGGCTGTCTATACAAAGGCGTCATGGTATTGTGGAAAAGGGAGATTGGATGCGGATTCTCAAGTCATGTTCATTGTGACCTGTATTCCAGCAGTTTAGTGTTTTGATAAATGGAAGAAATTCCCCTCTAAAGTCATGTAGTACTCGCATGAAATCCATGGACAAACTACAGGAAGCACATCTGCAGCTGCCACGACCACCGTCCCATCCACCAACCCCTCACTCCCGCTTCGACGCACCCACAAAACTCTCCCGCCTACCCCAATTCCTAGGCTGTCTCCGCAAAAAGGCACCAACGGAGCCGAGATAGCCCTCGTGGCGCAAAAAGTAGGCTTGCTTGGTACCCTTTGACCAAAAGCGAATCGCATACGACAACGTATTCATGGTCTGGGAGTGGCCGCCGATAAAGGAGCCGCCAAAGTAGATGCGCGGCAGTCCGTGTTTCTCGGCGTGCAGATAGGCAATCTGGCCAATGTTGTTGGAGACGGCGTAGAGGAGGGAGCGGGAAATGTCTTCTGGTCTAAACGAGGACGAGGATGGGCTGTGTGTGTGGTGGGCGAGTTCGGCCTCGTCGCGACGCTCGAGGTTGCCGTTGCAGCCGTCTTCTGCTTCCCGCTCGGCCGCTCGCTTCATCTTGTAGACTTTGCCAAACGATGAGGCGATGTGGGTGCTCTTGAGGCCGATCTTGTTGTACGCTTGGCCGTAGATGTCGCCGACGAGGAGGTCGACGGTGCTGTTGTCGCCGTTTTCCGCGAGCCGCAACATGTCGTCAAAGGTGCGGGCGCCCGTGAGGAGGGACAGCAAACCCCAGAGTGTTCCGCCGCCGAGGGAGGTGCCGCCGATGCGCTCGAATTGCCGGGGGCCTGAGACTTTGATCATGGAGACGCCGGAGCCGATGTTGACGAGGAGGTAGGGGTAAATGTTGGGTGGATCGGGTGGGTGTGGCATGAATGTCATGGGCTCTTCTTCACTGTAGGTGAAGACTTCGTTGGGGATCTCGTTGATGAAGAAGTCAAGGCCTGGCGAGATTGGTCTGTTAGCTTCCTTGCCTTGTCTTGCAGTCAGTCTCGTGAGGTATTTCATACCTTCAATCAAACATTCCATCTCATCCTCCCGCCTGACCTCTACCCCGAGCACCTCTGTAATCCTGTCGTAGTACTTGAAAGCACCGCCCCCTGTAGCCACGACACACAGCTCTTCCGACTTGGTGCCATGTCGCTTCTGATCGGCCTGCAGTTTGCGCATGAATTCTATGCAGGCATCAATGCGCTCCGTCTCAAACTTGAAAAAGTTCAGTCGGCCACCTAAAACCCGTAGCCGCTCCGAATGGTCTGAAGTGTTTCA